CAGGCACACCAGCCCCATGCCCACCAAAGCCAGATGCTGCCCAGGCAGCATGGGGCTCTTGCGTGGCTAACAAGATCTTTGCCAGGGAAGCTCGTTAGCAGCCTGATGATCAAAGGAGTACGGGGCAGATCAATGAACATGGGGAGCAGGCACAGAGGCAACGCAGGACTCCTGCACTGTGGCTCCTGGCATGAAGAGGGACCCCTGTGCAGGAGCCCACCAGCTTCCCCCTGCCCTGCAGCCCCCTGGGGACTCACCTCTGCTCCGTGCCTGAGCATCACGCCTGCAGCCCCAGCCCTCGGTGCCGGGGCCCCTCTGTCCCCACCAGCATCCTCCCAGCCGGACGTGTGCCCGGAGGGGACGGACAGGCAGCGAGGGCTCTGCGCCCGCGGCGCTTTGTGAGCTACAGCTCGCCAGGGCTGTGGTGAAACCCCGGCATCCAGCCCTGCCGCCGACCCTCACAGCACCCGCTCTGGGCATCCTTGGAAGATACTGTCCTGGGTGGGCACCCACCCCAGCCCCCACCCTCACCATCTGGCTGCCCCGGGAATGCAGCGTGCTGGAGGGTAACGCCGTGTCGTTTGCATCAACCCGTTCCTGTCCAAATCCTCCTCCCAGCCACTGCTGAGCTGCGGCTCCGTTCTCCTCCTGCCAGCTGGGCCAGTGCCAGCCTGAGAGTCCCAGGATAGACCCAGCTCCATTTAAAACCGATGAGGGACAAGAGGACAGGAGGTTTAAAACCCAGGTGGGAGCCCTGCCTGCACCCTGCCTGCACCCTGCCCACGTGCCTTGGGGCAGATCCCACACTGCTGCCTGGGGCTCCCATGGGCTGCCAGCCCTGTCCCCAGGGGTCCAGAGAGGGTCCCAGCACAGGGACCCCAGGGCGCGGCAGAGCCGGTTCCAGCACCGAGGGCCCTTAGTATGCAGCAGGTGCAGGCAGCACCGACAGAGCCGGCAGCTGAATGGCGCTGCCGCTGCAAGGGCAGCTCCTGCCCATCCCAGCTCCGGCACAGCAGGATTACTGTCCGTCAGGATTACAGCAGGCTGGGGAGGGGGGCAGCCCTGCCGAGCCACTGTCAGCTCCCCGACACACGCAGGGGCACGGGCAGACAGACGCAGGCAGGGATGGACAGACACCCCAGCACAGAGTGGGGATGCGTGCACGCAGCATCTGCCTGCGTCCGTAGCCCCGGGGGCGCAAACCTGCCAGCGCCCGGGCTGGCGAGCGCGTGCACCGTGCTCCCGTGTGCTCTACCCGCTGCGCTGGCTGCCACCCTGGCCCTGGGCCAGCGGAGATAAACGGCAGTGCCCTCTGCTCCGACCCCGGCAGCGTAAATTGGCCAGTGGAGATGCAGCTGCCCGCCCGGCACCCTGCCCTGGCCGCACGGGATGCGGGTGGGATGCAACAGCCCCTGCATGTGTGTGCCACGCCGGTGCAAGCTGGCACGCCCAGTGCATGCACCCTCATTGCTATGGCAGGCGCGGGCTCGGTGCGTGCGGCTCTGGCTAATTAGCTGGCGCGGGCCAGCTCCCTCCAAAGCCCCTGCTGAGTGTTTTGCTAAATTATAACCTTGACAATGTTCATCATCAGGCGGCTGCTCGGGGAACAGCCGGCTCCGGCCCCGCGCGCCCAGCGCTGAGCACCGGTGCAGCGGCGCAGAGCTGCCCGGCTGGGGTGGCAACACACCGGGGTGGCATCACGCTGGGGTGGCTTCCCACCATGTGCCCGCAACCACCGGGTGATGCAAGAGCAGGACCGAGGCGAGTGATGGGCTCTGTGGCGTGGCCCCGGGGTGCCTGGGAGCCTGTGGCCAGTGCTCAGTGCCTGGCTCACCCGGTGCTGCGCTCCTCAGGGCTCAGCACGCATGTCCCCTCGGCTCAGCATGTCCCCTCAGCATGGCGAGCTGGTGGCCCCGTTTCCATGGTGACACAGAGCCATTTCCCATCTCTGAGATGCTCTCGACAGCTCTCGGGTGGGGGCTGCAGCCGCTGCCCTACACCCATGGGAGACAGGCAGGGATGGACCCCACCACCCCGGGGGGGGACTGTGCTCCTCCCTTCCAGCCATCTGAGGGGGGCTGCTGGGCCCCATGTCCTGCCCTGTGTGTCCTGGGGCTGCCCCTGGGATGGCCAGGGTGCCTGACCTCATCCTCACCCCAGGGCGGTGAGGGGTGTTGGGGAGCGCCGGGTCCCCTGTCCCGGCACGGCTGGGTGAGGGGACCCCAGCAGCGTGGCTGGCCGGGGGTACCCAGTGCCAGGAGCTTCTTCACATGCTGCCGGAAGCACCACAGGGCCAGGGGCCTGCGCCCAGGCTCATCCCGGTGCCACGGTGTACCCACGGTCTCCCGTCCCGGCAGCAAGCCAGAGCACAGGGCTGGGCATGGCCACACCATGCCTCCATCTCACCTCCCGCCACGCCATTGTGACTCCCAGGCTGTCAGCACAACCCGCCACCTCTTTATCCCCCTCTTCATCTCAGGGCTGCCTATTACTGTTTTGCATCATTTTCCGTCCCTGGTGATAAATTTTTCCTTCCCAATTTCCAAGGGTTTAACTCCCACCCGCCCACAGCGCCCGGGGCTGCCCCATGGGGCATGGACCCGTTGGCTGAGAGCACCCGGACACCCTCACCCCACGCCCTTCCCCAGTGGGACCTGGGTGTCCTGGCACCCGAGCATCCCAACTGGCGTGGGTGGCAGTGCTGGGGCAGGGGCCGGCATCGGGTGGGGGGGGGAGCCCCAAGGCGGGGAGATTGCGAGACAGAAGGGACGGGCTAATGGAGCCTATTCCTTTAATAGATTCAATTTCTGCCGCGGCTGGCTGCGGGGCGCGGAGCCATCAATTCGATTCAGGGGATGGGGAATCTGATTTGGAGCGGCCGGGCCATCAATTAGCTTTTATTGATGGCATTGCTCATTGGAAGTCGATGGGATTTGAAGCCGGCAGCGGCTCCCGCATACCAAGCAACCCCCGCTCAAGGACAGGGCCCCACTGCTCCGGGACCCGGCACCCACACTCGGGTCCTCACAGGGACCCCTTGGCCCTCACCTGGGAAAGCCCCGGCGGGGCTGGGGCAGCGAGATGGGCAGCCCCCCGGAATCCCTCCACAGGGGTCCATTGGGGGCT